CTGGAGACACCAGTGTCTGGATGAACTTGTTTCAATACTTTGAAGATGTAGATAGCGTAGCTCTCCTTCCGCTTGCGTCTCTTCTTCTTGTCTCCCTTCGAAATGTTCTTCTGGGCCTTGCCGGCTTTCTTTGCTGCCTTTCCGCTGATTTTCGGTGCCATTGCTAATGTTAATCGTTTGACTGACGAACACGAACTGAATGCTCGCACTAGAGCTGTGCGCGTTTATATAGCGGTTCAGTGAGTGGATGACGTCAGCGATTCGAAATTCTAAGCTCCGCCCATTTCGTCGAGTGTGCCATACTGCGAAGCATATATAAGCAGACACGCAGCGCTGTGCTCACATCATTCAGTATTTGTCGTTCGTACGAGTAACAAGCGAAATGGCGAAAACAGCAAAGAAGACTAGCGCGAAGAAACCAGTTAAGAAGAAGATTGTCCCAAAAAAAGCGACTGCCACTCCATCTAAATCAGCAAATGTTACGAAATCTAAAGCTCCAACTCGAGTGTGGGCAACGAGCCAAGCAGAAGCAAACAAAATTATCGCTGCTTTATCACCAAAAACCAAAACTCCTTCGAAACGTAAACCGAAACCAAAAACTGTTCGCGTTTGGGCTACAAGTAAGGCAGAAGCAAAGAAAATTGTTGCAGGCAAGGTAGCAAAAAAAATAATTTACCAACAATGTCTGAAAGGATATCGTTTGCAAAAAAACAGCCCTTTTCAGGGCTTCCAATTTTTTTTAAAGCATTTTAATGAATCAAATATTTTCAATATCCAAAAATTATTTATACAACTAACAGCTGTCATACCTCGTTCAAGTACTAGCTGTCATAAGTGCGAGCGAATACATTGTATACCACCGTCAAAATGTCTGTCGTACTTTGCAAAAACTATTATTTTCATCGAATAAATATTTTAAGTAAATGTGAAACTGACCGAAGAAAAAACGTTCACTTCTATACATGAAAAGGAAAAATACTTCTTTGAACGAAATACGTCAACCTAATTATAGAATTTCATAGAAATCATCATATTTTTAATGCATTATCACAAATATGTGTTTGTATTTTGTAAATTCTTTATAAAAATGACTTGATGGCCCTGTTTTTCTATGAATTTGAGTTTAAATCGGGTTGCATTTAGCCACTGAAACTGTACAAGAAGTCCTCTTTTGAAAAATATATCGAACAGTCAATTTCAATTTGGACAAGAATGCCAACAAAAATAAGTATATATCAACCAAGTATTGAATTCACTGATATAATTCTGCTTTTGCACTCGAATTGAATCAATTGCAAATAAATAGAAAAAATGTATGTGATTTTTGAAATTCTTCATAAAAACTATTTGGTGGCCCTGAAAAGGGCCGATTTTTTGTTGAGATCGGGAATGCGTTTAACCACCGAAACCGTACAAAGTACGGCCTTGGCGTTTCAAAGCGTACACGACATCCATAGCGGTGACAGTCTTTCGTTTGGCGTGTTCGGTGTATGTGACGGCATCACGAATGACATTTTCCAAAAACACTTTCAACACACCACGGGTTTCTTCGTAGATCAAGCCTGAGATACGCTTGACACCGCCACGACGAGCCAAACGACGGATGGCTGGCTTGGTGATACCTTGGATGTTATCACGCAATACTTTACGATGACGTTTAGCGCCACCTTTTCCCAATCCCTTTCCTCCTTTACCACGACCGGTCATTTTGATTTAGCTGGTAGTATGTTCTTCACTCGACGAAAGACTAACACGAACTGATGCCTGCTACTGCAGCGTCACCGTATTTATACACTTCTCGCGTCGTCGTCCCCATCGTACCAATCGTACGATTCGCGCTAAAAACTTCTCCTTCGGATAACCAAATATCGCTTTTCAACGATATTTCTAACAATTCTGTTTTGAATTTACATTATTTTTAACAATTTCCAACCAAAAATAAGAAAAACTTGACAAAAAGCCGAAAAAATTCGTAATTTGAAGAATAAATAAGAATAATAACGACAACACACGCACGACGATCGTAGCGTCGCTTCTCCTGCGTCAAAAAGTATAAATAGAGTGCGCTCTTTGTACGTTGTCATTCATTCTGCGTTTGACTTTCGTTGTGTAAGCATCGTAAACTAAAAAGAAGAAGAAGAAGAAGAAGTAAAATGGCCCGTACTAAGCAAACCGCTCGTAAATCAACTGGTGGAAAGGCACCACGTAAACAGCTCGCCACCAAAGCCGCTCGTAAGAGTGCTCCAGCCACCGGAGGTGTGAAGAAGCCACATCGTTACCGTCCAGGAACAGTCGCTCTTCGTGAGATTCGTCGTTACCAGAAATCGACGGAATTGTTGATCCGCAAACTGCCATTCCAACGGTTGGTTCGTGAAATCGCCCAAGATTTCAAGACCGACTTGCGTTTCCAGAGCTCAGCCGTTCTCGCTTTGCAAGAAGCCAGCGAAGCTTACTTGGTCGGTTTGTTCGAAGACACCAACTTGTGCGCCATCCACGCTAAACGTGTCACAATCATGCCAAAAGACATCCAATTGGCCCGTCGTATCCGTGGCGAACGTGCATAAGTTGATATTGTCAACAATTTTACAAAAATCGGCCCTTTTCAGGGCCACCAATAACTAAATTATAAAGAATTTTCAAAACATCTTTCATATATTCTTCGTAGTTTTATTTTTATTTAAACATTTAAATTCGAAATTTCTCAAACTTGTAATTCTGAACAAATATCTTATAGTTATTCTTGCACTGAAACGATTGCAAGCGATTAAATCAATTTTTATTTTATTGAATGACTGTATGAATGTAAACGGCATAATATTGAAAAGAGTCACCACTCACACAGAAGTACTTTTACAATATGCACGACTTGTATTGGTAATTTGACAGATCACCACTATTACTATTGGTGAGCATAGTGATTCTATATGTATTGTATCGGCTCTGCTGTGCGATATTACAACCAATACTACTTTGTGACATAGTTTACTACGGTGAAAAGCTTCTCTTTGAAAACTGATGGGGAAACGATTAACTTGCGTTCGATTATTGTGATTTTTCAATATCATGTATTTCAAAGATGAATCAAAAGTTGTGATTTAATAACAGCGATACGTTTATGATGCATTCGAATGAAATTGTTGAAATTTTGTAGTTCGATATTTTAAAATCTTTATAAATTATTGTTTGGTGGCCCTGAAAAGGGCCGTTTTTTGTACGGTTTTGCGAAAATTATGTCGAATTTACTTTGAACTGGTGTATTTGGTGACGGCTTTGGTTCCCTCACTGACGGCGTGCTTGGCCAATTCTCCTGGCAACAAGAGACGGACAGCCGTTTGGATTTCGCGACTAGTGATGGTTGACCGTTTGTTGTAGTGAGACAAACGCGATGCTTCAGCGGCGATACGCTCAAAGATATCGTTGACGAAACTGTTCATGATGGACATGGCCTTACTGGAGACACCAGTGTCTGGATGAACTTGTTTCAATACTTTGAAGATGTAGATAGCGTAGCTCTCCTTCCGCTTGCGTCTCTTCTTCTTGTCTCCCTTCGAAATGTTCTTCTGGGCCTTGCCGGCTTTCTTTGCTGCCTTTCCGCTGATTTTCGGTGCCATTGCTAATGTTAATCGTTTGACTGACGAACACGAACTGAATGCTCGCAC